ACTGGAAGTCCGACCGCCCGTCCTCGATGTCATCCTGGCAAGACGCCTTTGCAAACTTCAGGATCTCAGTGGAACGTTCCTGGGCGATCAGCCATGTCAATCTCAACATGCATGGTTGTGAATTCAACCGAAAAACACTGATACATATAGATTGGCGTTGTGGGTATATGTATATATCTCTATAATTCTCTATATATGTGGGAGCTGTTTGTTTTTTGAAAACAACTATATATATATATCCAGCTATGGATGCAGATTCTTTCAAAAAACTGCACGAGCAAAAGCTTTGCAGAAATCAGTCTGTACCTGTCACATCAAGCCTCATTGAAGAAGGATTCACATAGTCCTGCACACTTGAAAAACATGTCCATGGTGGAAAGCCAAAGGGCGCCACATGCGTATCGCCATGCCAGCTGGCGAGCTTTGTGCGAGGGACCTGGCAGGGCTGTGTGTGTGTGTGTCAGGACGTCAAAACCATATAATTTCAACTAGGGCACCCCCTTGCTTTGAATTTATGTGTTTATATATATATACCTTATATCCACATGTTTTTAATGTATATACGATAAAGATCAACTCGATATGCCAAACTGCAGCCAACAGTGACCTTTTTTTTCCTACTCCCACATGATGTTTCAAGGAAACTTCTCGCTTCCACACATATTCAGTCCTGCAGTGAAAACTGCAGCGACAGAGCTTGATTGATGCTAGATAATTTCAGCTTGGAAATGGATGTGCCTGAGCACGGTCAAACACATGTGGTTCTCCACATGTTCATCGAAAACCCACCTGTCGACCCCCGGTTCAGATCCAAAGAAAAACACAATGATCCCAGCATATATATGGGTGCTGATGTATATCTACAAAATTCTATAAAGGTACAAAAGGTTCACCTTTATATTCTATAAAGCTCTATTGGTATAAAACACCTTGAACCTGATCTCTATGTGGTCGCTCAGGCTTTGCTGGAGCCGCGCTTTGGCTTCTTTGGAGCTGGCGCTGCCAGTTCCTCAGTCTCCGCAGGTGCTGGGGTCTGTTTGCCCTTGACCCTCTTTGAGGGCTTTCCACCTGGCTGACTTCCACGCTTGTTCTTGCGTGCAGGTGGGTCCTTCTTGGAACCCTTGGTAGTGTTTCCCTTTGTCTTCTTGCTCCTGTGATTGCCACCGCTGGGTGGCTTCTTGCGAGTTGTCGGCTTTTCAGGGGGCGGCTTGGCATCCTTGACCATTTGCCTGCATGGCAGACCATGCATGTGCATGTACTATTATCATCAGCCAGTGCTCGTAGTGAAGTTAGCAACAATAAAGTGGCAAAAGAATGCATCAATATATATACACATATGTGCGCATATATGTTTGTGTTGTTCAATCATTGGGCCCAGATGCTTCTGCTGAGTCTCAAGGCCCAGAAAGCCAGCACACCTAAGATTGAACAAGTAGCATTGTACATGTGTGTGCATATGCTTGCACTGTAAACATATATATATACACACCCATACAGATATTATATATATATACACCCATATGTATGTATATATAAATATATATATATATATGAGTGTACACACATGTATATGCCTATACCTGCTCCATTTGGCAGCTTAAACACTGCCAAGTTTCAAATCCCTGACCTTGTTCTTCTCCAAAGAGATAAGCTTCTTCAGCCTTGGGGGGCATGAGCGAACATATATATATATGTATATAGGAGCGAAACAAATGGGGATACAGGTAATAAGAACAAACATTGCAGTGAATTTATCTATCCATGAATGCAGGTTCACATGTTTGCCATGCAAGATCTGCACAAGCAGCTTCAGTGTGATTTTGGCAGCCCTTGCTCAGTCATAATCTATTTACACAGCAGTTGCAACTTCTACATCCAGTTATGTACGGTTGATCGCATCTAAAATCAAAGCCCCATCAGTGGCCGATTACTGGGTCTCTTCAACGACTTGTACACCACATAGACCAGAAATGGCCCAGAGTCAGAGTCCAAAACGGTATCTCCTCCATCCTTGATATTGTAGCATCCAGGCTTTCCTTATATCAGGATTGGCAGTCACATCCCAAAAAAGTGAACGGACCCTCCATAGCCTATATATATATGCCATTATATAATTGAAACAACATTAACACAAAATCTTTGCTGAGAATAATGCTTGGCACCTTTGAACTGTTGTATGAGTGCTCCTTCAACAAATGCTGGGGAAACCGTCTCGCCCGCTGCATAAAGCACCAACAGGTTTTCCCAGCGACATTTTTCTAGCTGATAGCCGAATTTGGAATTGTAAAACCGAGTGTGGGCATCATGGGTGTAGCCGATCTTGTAGATCAAAGGCTCGTTCTTTCGAATAACTTTCCCCACAACTTCAAAGCAGTGGACCAGAATTTTTCCAGCGAGAGACTTTTTTGGGGGTAGGGCATAGTCTAATCGAAAGTCATGTTCGATCTTGTTGAACACTTCCTGAGTTCTTGGCATGGCCAAGATGTCATTGTCTAAGGCCTCTTGCCAATGCCGCCTGGTCCTTGAAGACGAATGAGGTGCCCAAGATGAGCAGGGTGGGCCTGCAGCAGTGTTTCTCTCACATATATTTCATGGGTGTACTCCAGGACATATATGTATCATTCTTATTTCCACCTGCCCACCTATCTACCTCTCCATCTACCTATATTTAAATGTTTATCTATAAATCTCATATATCTATGTATCATATGTGTATATCTTTACATCTATATATGCATATGCATATCCCCTTTGTTTATATAAGGTATGAAACCTTTCACAAATTCCCAACACTACTTGGAATGTTTGGGATTGTTGGATGGTCCTGCCTTGGTAAAGTTCCATGCAGGGAGTAGTGCAGACCGCCTGCCGAGGCTTTTACATCTATATAAGTAAAGGGCATTGGTGAATGCAGGAATTATCTGATGGATAATGCAGGAGTACAAAAGGAGCATCGAGATCACACAAGATTGTATACTCTTGGTCCATGTACTCATGTGAAAATAGAGATGCATTCACATGAACAACATGGCCTGGCGATTGTATTCAATCAGCTCTTGAATCCAGCTTGCGCTATCATCTTCACCATCACCACCGGCCATGGCAGTCTCTCTCTCTCTCTCTCTAAAATTGGGTTCCCCACACCTAATGGGTAATCCCAACATCCTACACAGCCTGATCATATATTGGCTGCAAGGTTGCCGGCAGGTGTTGTGCAAATACCATATATTTATATATTGACAGACTGATCATGCACAGAATGTGTAAAAAAATGCACCCAAGAAACTCATCAAGGCGCTCAGAGACCTTGGTACCATCGTTGAGGTCCATCTTCAACTCAGTGACATATTTCGCGAGCTGGGAATAGCACATTCCAAGCCCATCATGTGTATCCTTCAGCTTGTTGCACAGCCTTGGGAACGATAGGGGTCAATAGTAGGACGATGCATGGAATATTATGGGCCACACTGGAGCTGTCATTTATGTAAGATTCCAAGAATGTGATTGAATCTTAGAAGTTCAGAAGTATGTAATGAACATTGTATATATTATTGGGAAAATTGGTCTGAGGTTTGCACTCTTGGGACTTGGCTGACGATTGAACTTTATCATTGATGGTATCCACCATGGTAGTGATCTTGCCTTGCTTTGCCACAATGCTATCCATGTACTTCTCCAGCTCGGGCACCGGCTGGCCAGGGAAGATCATTGGTGGAGTTTACCATCAAATGGTTGGAGAGGCATGGGTATTGGGATTGGGCATATGACATTAGGCATAATGACACTCAATTGCCCCCACCTTCTCCCCCAGAACCTCTGGAGTGGGCTTCTCCTCTGGAATGGCAACATGTCCAGGGGGAAGCCGCTGCACATCATCTTTGGTCACCTTCTCATCCTCAGCGGCCAAGAGTCACAAGGGTATCTATATGTTTTACAGGGGTGAAATGGGGTGAAGATGATGTGCAATGGATTGATAAAACAAAACAACTATACCCCCAGATATATATATATATATATATATATATAGGCAAATACTAATGACAATACATTATCATATTTATTATAAATACACATGTATATATATATATGTGATGTTTGTATATGATGTTTGCAAGACTTTCATGGCATGTTTTTCCAATGCCACTAAAATCACAATTGATGTGTCAATAAGTTTCATCCATCTCAGTTTGTTCCACTGTTCGGTCAAGCTCAGCCAACTTGCGAGTGGTCTTCTCATCGGTCTCGATGTAAAATTCGCTCACATCAGAGTTATATTTCCAGCTCCTTTAATCATGCAACAAAAGTGAAGGGACATTATCAACCGAGCAGGTGGGTGCCCAGTATACCATCATGGTAAAAACATCCACACACCCATATATGTGTATATAACATACATCAGTGCAGATTGCATGCCTTGAGCTGCAAGATATCATGGTGAGGAAACAATGGCCCACCCACTCCTGACCAACGTCTCCGGCCATCGACGACAGTAAGCAATCATCGACTTGATTGCCGGACCCGACCACTCCCCACATTTCTTCATCCTCTCTTCCGTTAACCAGCGTCCATGCACCTCCTGCTCACGTGAGGAAAGCCTTTCCTTCATCACTGTCACCTTTCGCACAAAGTCACCCTTAGATCAGCAATGATCAGGAAGAACCCCATGGAAAAAAATGGAGATATTGGGGAGATGTTGAAAGAGTTTCACTGATCGAATGTATTATCTGTTTTTTAAACTTTTAATATATATATATATAACCATTGATACTTTGCACAAAAATCGATGGAGTATTAAAGTTTTATACATAGGATAATGCAACATGCCAACATGAACCCTTTTGCAACCAAACAACTTTGACACGCTTGTACCACTTTCTGTCCAAACCATAAGTGGCCAAACACTGGAGCAAACTCATCTCCAGAATCTCCCTTTTCTCACCGCCCTCCACATAGTCATGGTGGATGGCATCTGGGAACCCACAACGTCCTGAGTTTTTCTTTTCACATAACCTCCTTGTTCTCATCCGAAGGGCATCATGTGTGATTGGTACCTGAGTGTGCACACAGGAAACAACATGGTTTCATTACACATATATATGTGATTTATGCGCTTTAGCTTTACTTGTATATACACATTGTATTGCATGGTTCCATCGCTGAATCTCAAATGGTCAAAATAGCAGGTTATATAAACCCAATCCGTCCACGAATGAGTATGAGAAAATACGGGTAAGTATATTAGAGCCAAAAAACTTCAGTGCCATCTGCTGTCGTCAGGAAAGTCCGAGATGGGTCTTCGCTTTCGATGTCATCATCATCATCATCACTTGAACCATCAACATCATGTCGGTGTCCTTTACCTTTCTTATGGGTGTCCTGCTTTCTGGCCAATGCCTCTTCCAACTCCTTTTCTTTCTCTGCTCTCTTGGCATTGTCATTCTGTAGTTCCTGAACCTTACTCAAGGCTTCTGCCAATTGATTTTTCATACTTGTGAACTCTGGCGCTTGGGTTACAGGGACTGCCCTCGCATTCTGAAGCACCTTGCCCTCAAGCACACTGATATGGTTCTGAAGTGTGCTGATGATGTTCTGGTCAGTCTCCCGGTGCTTCAACACAGCCTAGGATTCAGGGCCCAATCAATGGAACATACCAGAATGTGCAGGTTTGAGATTTGGGATTGCACACATCTATATCTCTATATGCACTATGTGCATGTGTGTGTGAGAATGCAATACATATATATATATATAAACAATTATAAATAATAATAATAATATATATATATATATTTGGTGAACCCAATTCAAATGCAATCCAGCCACATCATTGATCATGTTCATCACTGCATCCTGGGAAGGCATCGCCGGACTGGCTGTGCGAGATGGTGGCAAAGATCGGCGAAGGTCAGTCAATTCCTGTGTGTCCTGGGCAGGTGCTTTTGTTCTTCTGACAAGAAAATGTATATATGGCCCAACATAAATAGATACATATATAGAATATATGTATATTATATATATACACATCTATAATCATTTGTATATATATATATAAATATGATGGGGTCAGGAACATGTCCTTACATGATTCTAGAATTTCTCCATGCAAGCATGAACTGTATGTGCACACCAAGTAGCTGCTGGTTGGGTATCTGCAGGAGTCGCTGGGGCAGAAAATTGCCGAGGTCGAACTTGTTCCGAAGGCTTAGTTCCATGATTGGCATTGGACAGAAGGAGTTCCCATCAGGGTCCAGCAATGTCCCATGCATGCATGATGCAATGTAACATGATTCATAAAAGGAACTTGTTTTAAACGTATAATTTTTCTGATTCCCCAAATGCCCCCATCATATATATAACAGCTTGAGACACATCATCTTGCAATTGAGGGACTGTGCGAACAGCCTTCCCTGGCGAAGGTGTCTCGCGCTTGACGGCCATGGGAGCCTTAGAAGATCTGGCAGTGCAGCTCTTAGGGTTTCCCATTGGAGACATATATTGATTATTATATAAGTACATGGTGCCACAGATGCCACTAAATGTCCAACCTAGTAGCAGCAGCAATAGTAGCCTTCTTCTCCTTGATCTTCTGAATAACTGTTTCCGCTGCCTGTCAGCATGTGGCTCCTTTAACACTATAGAGAGTGCATGGGTACAACCATGTATCGTTTATTCCGAGAAAACAACTCACTTCAATTGTATATATCAATACATTTTGAGACCATAATCATGTGTATAAGAGTGACACATATAGACCTACATGATTGAAAACCGACATGATTGAACACCGATATCCCTGCACAAACAAGGGCACCCTTAGGGGATATATATATATATATATGCATGGTGAAACGTGAAATTCTGCATGCATTGCATGCATGGGTATACTATATATATATATACAATATTATAAGAACCCTATGTTTGCTTCCATCCCGTTTATGCACAAGCATGTCACCCGATTGAGGTGCTATCCTGGCCTTCATTGCATCCTGCAGCTGGCCGGGCTCCAAGTTTATCCCAGCCATCTGGGCACAAGCTTCTACACCCTCTGCCAGGGTGCCACAACTCCAAGCCCTACTGGGAAATGTTGACATACTACCTGGTGCTGACATCGCTGACCCCAAACAGAAGGATCACACCACTCCAAGCCCCCTGATCAAAAGCGGCTGTAGAAAAAAAACATGTTCCACAAACAAACATTGTTTGATATCAAGATTATATGCCTCCAATGTAAGTTCATTCTGGTATTCCATTCCCCAACTCATGGATTTTCCAGACCATCCCAGAAGGACATGTTTTTTCCCATTGCTGCGACCTGTGTATGAGCTCAAATGCCAATTAGGCAGCCAAATCCAAAGCCCCAACTTCGCCATCCTTGCCCAAAACCGGTGTTTTTTGTGGTGTTTCTGGGATATTCTAATCATCAAAAAATGATCAATTTGGAGGCTAAAAAAAGGCGTAATTTTTACGTACTTTTTGCGCAAATCTGAACGTAATTGAACGTAATTGAACATAATTTGAACGTAATTTGAACGTAATCTGAACGGTCTGAACGGGTTGGAACTGTTTTATACGTAAAAATTATGGGTATTAATCTATTCGAACGGTTTCCCACACTCTGCGAATTTTGGCTCTGTTGGGTCAACTCTGGTAGTCTTGAGCTGCAAAGTTCTAATCCAGGCCATTCCTCACAGGACAGAGTGGGCCACCTCAAGATCCTCTAGTGGAAAACGCCCAGCTAGGTTAAATACCCATGGCCATATATGAAATCATAGAGTGAAAATATATACATCAAAAGAGTAGTTTTAAAATTAGTCCATTCAAGCCCATGCAGCTCTGTTCTCATGAGGGAAACCATCTGCAAGTTGAACTTGCAGCTTTTGCATTAATTGTTCACCTTGGTTTCCATAGAATGTAAAATTTCAAAGCTACGTGGGAACACATTCTTCCACTTCTGTGGTGGGTTGAGGCTGCGAGAACCCCGCAGGTATCTCACTGTTTCCATGAGACTGGCTTCTGGCCAATCACTCCAAGGGTATCTACTGAACGCCAGGGCCCCATCAGCCGGCTGCACCCGAGGCTTGCCTTCTCCGTTCCCGACCAGCTTGGGGAAAAGGCGTCGTATTTGTTCTGCAAATGCACGTGGGTAGACCCTGGGTGGCAGGATGGTGAAAGTGGTGCAGCGACTGCTGGACATATTTTTATATATACATCTGCATGGAACCAATTTGCTGTGAAACAAATAAGGCAATGACTGAGTGGATTTCAACTCTTTTGTGCCGACATACGCTGGCTTTCCGCTCTTGTTCAAGTACCGTCTCACCGTTTGAACAGTTTTCTTTCCCTGAAGAGCTCGGGAGTAAACACCAAGGTCAACCTTTGAACACCAAGCATTGTTGGTGTATCCCCTGTGGCGCTTGGGTGAAAGTCCACCGTAATGGCCCATCCACCATCCGAAAGTAAATACCTCAATGACATGAATGCTTCAATCTCAGTGTTGGGATCCAACCACATGCATGCATGCGCATATAAGACCCCGATGAATTGACAAGGTTGGGGCTGGGGTCAAGTTTTCATGCTTCTATTGCGATATATGAAAATATGCTTCTTAATGTGCTATAAATATATATATTTAAATAGTTTTATGATTATATATCTACACCCAAGAGCTTCTCACTTCCAGTGAGACACCACGCCCAGATGCTTTTGTCTGCTGGGCCAGGAATTCAAACCTGAAGTAGTGGCGCATCAAACTGGAGGCGGGCTGCTCCAGGAAGAATGTCCCTCCTCTGGCCAGTATGAGTAAGTAGAGAAGGCATGTCCTCAGCCAGCAATCAGGAGAACGTGCATTGAAGGTAAGCAGAAAGACACACATACAGAGATATAAAGAGATATATAATATATATAGATAGATTATTAGACATAGAAGGACTAAGGATATAAAAGCATGTATCTGACAGATGTATAGATATAGAGGTAGGTTTGTTGACAAACTGATGGATTTGGATATAATTATATATATAAATCAACAATAATACCACTAGGCAGGCATAGGTATATCAAAGGATTTAGACCAGGTGCAAATGCAGCTGAAATGCATTTATACAGAGATAGTGGCATATATATAGGCAACTATAGATACGACGAGGAAATGCATATCAGAAACAGAAACCTTTCAACACATTTATTCTTGGCTTCACACTATCCACAAATCTTTGAAATATATATGTTCATCCAAATAGCAAACCCATCACAAATTACTCTCAATGAATCCTGTCCCCTGCCAGGCCTATCAACATGCTTGCCTACGATGGGTGGCTTACGAATGCTACTTCCGAAGGCTGGCCAGAGTTTGGGGGCTCCATTTCTACAGGAATGGAAAAAAAAAACAATTATTATATAATAATGGTTTGCACCAATCAATGGAGGATCGGTTACAGTACATGCATGGATAAATGGGACAATGCCTCAAAATGAGGCACCCTTGTTTCTTCATTGTTTCGAAACCTTTTTTGGGTCCAAAAGGTTGCATCATTTTGAAACGCCTATATCGTCTGATGGAGGGATGGGGTGATATGGATACATGGATATAGATGGATAAATGGATAGATTGGGAAATAGGATTCATACAAGAAATGTATAGAAGTAGTATAGATTCCCTACCTTTTTATCCCTTTGGATTTTTCATGACAGAACACATGCAACATTGATTTGAGAATTTTATGTTGGGTCTGTTGTTTGCAATCTACAGTTTCATCAGCATGCAGCTAAATGTCCGACTTACCATCTTGTTGCTGGCCTCAATGTAGGCCAGAGACTGCTGGCCTTCCGGCAACAGCCACGACCGCTTACTGGTACCAGAATTTATATGCACCCAGCTGGAACAGCAGGTCCCAAATAAACAAAAGAAGTGATCTTCTCGACAATTCAGCACCAGCCAAATAGCTAACCTTGGATTGACCAGCATTTGAACATTGTGGACGGACTCCCCATATCATGCTTTTGCATTCTAAAAAAAATATCCAGTATTAGACTGTTTCGATTCAAATCCATTTCTGTGTATATACATGCTCATCACATGTATATACATTGATATACAGGTGTTATATATATATAGTTGAAAAGGCCATCCAATCAGACCCTTTTTGCAAAGGAAGAAACGCCAAGCCAGAAGGGGAATTCACATCCATGGCATGGCCCCTTCCCTCCATGTATTCAAGATCCACTGCACAAGATGGATGGTGATCACCACGGATACAACGAAACACTTCTCCCTCACCAGCAAAGAACTCCAAATAGGTGAGGTCCTGCAGTCCGTCGAGAACTTGCGTGGGGTAACTAAGAGACTTGCAGGGGCAAGGGCATTCCATCATATATATATATATATATGTTTATAAACCACATGGTGATCAAAGGGTCTTGTTTATATATATATATGTATACGCATGGAATCATGGAACTTCAGTTATGCGAATGAAGGGATATGTTTGTAAATTGGAATCTCTATATATATATATATGTGTGTGTGTGTAATGACCAGTGGTGTTCAAGTTTTCTGTGTGCAAGCAGGGATTGAATTTGTGATGGCAAACAGGTTCATGGCCACTCCAATTTTCAACAAAATGCACATGTGACCCACGAGACCCACCCCCCAAAAGTCCTGGGAAAAGTATGGAAGCCCACAATATGCAGTCATGATAACTGCCCATACAAATGCCTTGGCCAGTGGAGCAGGATTTTGGGTACATGTCCAACACTTGTTTCCAGCTTGTTCTGCAATGGTTCTAAATGTGCCACGGTGACGCAACTACACAGTTCAAATTTCAACAAAGGAATGGCCAACCTATATATACACATGAATTTGGTAACACCCACTGGTTGTAAATATAAGATGTGAACCATGTTTGATTCCAGCATATATGATTGTCAAAATAAAATGGAAAACACATCGCTTGTTTGCAGACCATGTTACTTTGGGAACATCCAATGCAAGAAGTCGTAGTACCAAAGCATCCATGTCAGGAACCCAGCCCGTCATGGCAAGAGCCCTCTGTGGAAACTGCCCCCTAAAGCTTGATCCCCTCTGAAACGCTTCCAAAAGTGCAGGCTGGTTCTAAATTCAGAGAGATTGGTAAAGCACAACGCTTTTTTGTTTTGCATCCAATGGCATGCACAATCCATGCCAGTAATAACCATGGCAAATCATAGTGAATTTGATTGTCCCTTTAATCGTGATAAATTCCATTCACACATATATGTTACAGATATGTTACAGTGGATGTTCAATGCATTTGGCCCATCCCACAAATCATGCCAGACCCACGATCTTTGATTGCCCGTTTGACACCCCTTCGAGTAGCCCATGTCCGTAGGGATCTTCTCACCATCCATGATGAGGTTTTCACCAAACCTGGCAAGATCGTGAGTGACCCCGGTGACTTGGATCTAACGGAATGGGAAAGCAGGCATCCAGTATTTGAAAACCATACATGTATATAAATATAAATATAAATAAATAAATGAATAAATAAATAAATAACATATATATATAAAATAGACTATATGTAACTTAACGCTCTATATATTTTAGATAGGTGAGTGAATTAGATTGTATCAGCAGTGATTTGACAAACAGCAATGATGTTGTTTATGGTGATTGAAGCAAAGATCCAACTGGGAGTTTATGCCAAATCGAAACACAAATCAATACACTTTGGGGGATGTATTTTGCATAAGCAGGGCCTTCTATATATAAATATAAATTCTCACCAGCCATCCCTGGGTTGCACAGCAATGAATGGTTCCACTTTTTTTGACCTTGGCCACTCTACTGCCAGCTGGCCACAAATCGTCGACCATATCAACATCGAAGGGGACTATACATGGCTGAAGAACTGTGGCTAATCTACTGGGCATGGGCTGTCACAATTGCTGGGATAAAGATAGGGAGCTAAAGTTCGAGATTTTAAGCCATGTGTGGATAATTTGCCACACGGTTGGCCCTGAACATGCATGATTTTCCGATTTGTGCAGGGTGCCTTTCCACACACAAAAAAACTCAAAAAACATTCTATAATATATCCCTGCATTGAATGCAAGTCAATGGATCATTTTTCAATGCGGTATAATGGGTCACATGCTGATTGAAGATCTATCACCCACTAGTGTGGAACCCTGCAGTTGGTTCTAGCAGGCAAACACTTTAAGATTCATGACGTGGGGAATGTACCACCATGCAATGGAATCAAAAGACTTCATGTTGTTTTGCTTGTATGCAATATATATATATTATGATGATGTATTGCAATCAAAACGGCAGTTGCAAAATTGTGTGGTGTCCCAAATCAAAGGTCTTTGGCAATGCTTGCATGACCTTTGGTCATGCAGGGGTGATAGCATGGTGAATTTCTTTAGCTTTCACCAATAGGACCCATCAAACTCACAGCATGATCGTGCGACGTCTTCAGCAACAGGTGGAACTCCTTCATCTCGGCATTCTTTGGGTCCAAAGGCTTCTGCTGCGACAAGGCTTGGACCTGGGAGCCGGCGCAGCTGGCAGAGGAACATTAGAAAAGATCCCATGGGAAAATGACCAGACTGGTGGAAGACGGCATCCCATATAGGCATGCTTCATGCATGATCATCATCATCACCATCACCATCACCAGCATCATCATCATCATCATCATCATCATCCTCACCATAATATATATATATATGTATATGTATATATATATATATATGTATGTTCAAATATGTATATATATCTATTTATATATATATAACATGCATGCTTTGTGCATACTTGTTTTTGATATATGTGTTTGGTGTATATATATATTTATTATAGATGTGTACATGTGTGTTGTTTGAAGTAAAATACACCAATTCACAAAAATCCATTGGCCCCCTCCAAAAAAGACATGCACGTATATGCATGCAAGTGGCAAACTCATGTGCCACAGCTAGGTTGCTGTAGATGCAAGGGGTCGGGGATCCAAAGTAAGCCACTTGGGAAAATTTGCCTTTGCCTTTGCACTTGCCCTTGCAGCTTTTCCCCGATAGGAATGACTTTGCCACTTTGACACCTACAGCATGCCTGGTCCAGTAGACACTGATTGAGAACATCTTCGGGTCAAATTTTGGGGCACTCCATGTTGGGTGTGTGCACTCACTGTCCTTGCATTGGGACAAGATCCCGTTAACAAGGGCGACGATCTTGGGGCATGGCTTGCAGGGTTTGGACTTGCTCGGCTTGCTTTTCTTTGCAGGTTGGCCCTTCACAGGGGACTTTGCCTTTCCCTTTCGAGACCTGCATTTCTTGGTGCTCTTGGGTGCAACAGTGGATGCCCCCGATGCCCCAGATTTCTGGGAAACCACATGCTTTGTGTTGATCTTGCGCTTCCTGCTGCCACAGGTTGCAAAATCTGCTGGAGATAACACCTTGGCCTTGGACTTCATGCGACGCAACTTCACAAGCTTGGCATGCTTCACATGCTTTCGTGTCGGGCTTGCATGCTGTGCTTCATGCTTTGCTTCGGCCTCACTGCAGCCCACATCCTTGCCACAGTCCCCATGCTCCTCGACATTCTCCTTTTCCTTTACCACAGGCTCGTGGCCTTGTTCCTCAGGCTTGCTATTTCCTGACTCATCCTGGACATTGTCCATCACATCCTCCTCATGTGGTCGTTTCTTTCCCCTTGACTTCTTCTCCTTCTTAGGCTCCTGTTCATCCTGTTTTTTTTTTCCGACCCTCTTTTTCTTTTGGCTGTCTTTCATGGCTTTCTCTTGTTTCTTCTGTTCACGAGCTTTCTTTTTTTCCTCCTTCGCCTTTTCCTTTTCCACTTTCTGAAGTGCCTTTTGTTCCTTCTTTTTCTGTCTCTGCTCCTTCTTATTTTTCTTCATTCTAAACTGCATTCTGCGTGTGATGACCTCCTGATCGCCTTGCTGCCCCAGCTCACAATCCTCAGGCTTGTTTGCATGCTCCGCCTGCAGGGTAGTGTAGAGTTGAGACAACCATTGGACCGTTGACTTGAACAAATATTGGTTGGTCCTTTTCAACTGGCATGTGTGCACTAAAAAAGAACATGTCATTTCGCAATTTAAGTTTACACATAACATGCATCCACATGTATGTATGTGTGTGTGTGTGGGGTTAGGGATCTTATATATGATAATATATAGGTGTATCAGTCATCGAAGTTCTGACATCCCCAGATAGGCCTTATATATTTATATATATATATATATATTAACCTTCAGGAAATGGAACGACTTATATACTGTATGGGTCCATATTTGATTCATATACCCGACCTTGTCATCTTGTTCTGCGGCTGCCTCCATAGCATCCCACCAGGCTTTGTCTGGAGACCCAGGCCAAGTGACGCTTGAAGAAGACTGAATCTCTTTCGTAGGGTTGCTGGTGACAGGGGCCAAAGGGGCTCAGCGCTGCTCAGGTTCCCAAAGACTGCTGAGAGCAGAGCCACAACGTTTTCACGAACATGAACCTCTAGCACAGTCTTTGCAGCAACATCAGTAGCCATCATGGACCCAGGGCTGCACGGCAAAAGGGTTTGGTCGTAATCATGCCCAAAGGGCAATGAATCCACCACAAGCATCGCAGATCCTGGAAAACCCCCAGGGCCAGTAAACACTATTTTGGTTACATGGTTGACATTATAATTCAAGTTCCCTGGCTCTATTCAGATATATCCATAGTGCCATAATAGTGCCAGCAAAACATGCCCATTCCACCTTCTGCACCTTCAGGCTGAGAAAGTGGCATCTCAACTGAAGGACTGCTGGTGGGAGGCCGCTCGGTCAACTCATGTTGGGGAGGCTGGGGAGATGTAGCTGGCGAAGAAGGTGGTGCTCCAGGTGATGTCAAATGGGCATCATCTAGAGAACAAGTCTTGTTCATCTCTTTCCTAGGCTTGTGCATGCATGGTTAAAGGAACGACTTCATATGTATATAGATACTATCACTCATAAATAATATAAATAAATATATATAGTTGTTTCAAGGACATTCATATGTTGGTGCAACAGACTTCCTGGGTATAACGTCGAGCCAATACAGATAAATATATATATATGTTTTGCCTACTTGCGGGGACATATGCCTAGTATCAGCTGAAGATTTTGCAATGCCTCAAGCGCTTCTGTCAACTTTTGATGGGATAGTACATCAGCTGCAGAAGTGTCGCCTTCTTCATCTGAAGAAATGCAGCAGACGTTGTCATCCATGTCCTGGTGGTCATGATGATGTTTTGGGATAGCTGGATTTTACATATATGTATTAAAATTAAAAAGGTATACCTCTTTGACAAGTGTAGTAGCTGGCTGACCATGCTTTTTTGAATACATGGATCGGGGAAATTCCAACACTAATTAATGAGGCATGTGAATGTGGATGTATACACCCTGGGCTCCTTGTTGCACAGTGAAGTTGGACAAGCACTTTGTGATTGATCGAGTAATGTCAAAGGATCCGAAAAAATTGAATCATCCATACTCTTCGAGGTGTTGGCACCTTTCTGTGTCACCTTTGCAAAGACTTCTTCCATATCCCGTTCCGGAGTCTGGTCGAACTCTAGCACTTGGGAATGGGGTGGCATGCCCAGGAGCTGAGATTCCTCAACTGCTGGCCTAGAAGCAGGGGGCTCAACCGAAGGGGCTGGGAGTGGCGGTGCCTCGCTTGGTGGAGGTGCTCCCAAAGATTCACTGGATTGGCCCACCGGTGGTTGCTTCTTAATGGGCTGCCAGTCCTGCATGGCGCAAGCAAGTAAATCATGCATGATTCAAGGTTGGCCTGCTGGCTGAAAGTGGTGGGGGCAGATCAAAACATGCATGGGATTTATATATATAATTTATATATATAGGGTAATTAAGTATTTAGATAGATAGTTGTGTCAGAATAAAAATATGGATGAGGCTGAAAATCGAATTCAAAAAAAGCTTGGAATCGAATTTAAAAAAGGATTAAATTCGAATTTAATTCCTACGTGTCTGGTCTTCATCGACCCTAAAAAAGGATTAAATTCGAATTTAATTCCTAAGTGTCTGCTCTTCATTTGACCTTCAAGAAGGAATTAAATTCAAATTTAATTCCTGTCATGGACGGATTTTGACGGGAATTTCAGACCCTCCACAATGCACATTGACAGGACAGACAGGGAGGCAGGAACCCAGAGAGAGAGAGAGAGACAGCTGACAGCTGGCTAGCTAAGCAGACGGACCGACAGCAGACATCTTCTCATCTTCACATCTTCCCCAACCTAACAGCTTACATATTCACATCCTGACATCTTCTCATCTTCACATCCTCACATCTTCACATACACCTTCACATCTTCTCATCTTCACACTTCTCATCCTCACATCTTCACACCTTCTAAGATATCTTCTCATCTTCACATCTTCTCATCCTCACATCCTCACATCTGCACATCTCACATCTTCTCATCTTCACCCTTCACATCTTCACACCCTCTCATATTCACATCTGCTCATCTTCACATCTTCTCATCCTCACCCTCTCGTCTTCACATCTGCGCATCTTCACATCTTCTCATTCTCACATCTTCTCATTTTCACATCTTCTCAAAAAGACATTTTCACATCTTCTCATCCTCAAATCTCCAATCTTCACATCTTCACATCTTCACACCCTAGCCGGACCTTGTATAAAAGACTGGTTGGGTATATTCTGAACAAAAGGGTGCGACCCGACAGGAACTAACCCAAAAGAGAAGGCAACAGGCACGCAAACAAGGAAGCAACAGAGAGAGCTGACATAGACACAGCCTCGGTGGCTGACCTTCTGCGGAACCTTCTCCGGAACCAGAGTGAACCCGAAGGCAACAGGCACGCAAACAAGGAAGCAACAGAGAGAGCTGACATAGACACAGCCTCGGTGGCTGACCTTCTGCGGAACCTTCTCCGGAACCAGAGTGAACCCGGACTCGTCCACAAATACTACGCCCCAGGGTCCGGAATTTGGACCTTTCAGCCCCGAAAAGCTCAAAAAGCGGACCCCCGCAACAAAGCCTCCCAGACGTTCTGCGGAACCTTCTCCGGAACCAAAGTGAACCCCTGGACTCATCCACAGATACTGCGACCCGCGGGGGTCCGGAATTTGGACCTTTCAGCCCCCGAAAAGCTCAAAAAGCGGACCCCCGCAACAAAGCCTCCCAGACGTTCTGCGGAACCTTCTCCGGAACCAAAGTGAACCCCTGGACTCATCCACAGATACTGCGACCCGCGGGGGTCCGGAATTTGGACCTTTCGGCCCCCGAAAAGCGCAAAAAGCGGACCCCCGCAACAAAGCCTCCCAGACGTTCTGCGGAACCTTCTCCGGAACCAAAGTGAACCCCTGGACTCATCCACAGATACTGCGACCCGCGGGGGTCCGGAATTTGGACCTTTCAGCCCCGAAAAGCTCAAAAAGCGGACCCCCGCAACAAAGCCTCCCAGAGCAGCCATCTGCCAGAAGAATGACATTTGAGTCAGAAGAATGAGCAGCCATCTGCCAGAAGACTGACATCTGAGAAAAGGATTAAACTCGAATTTAATTCTTCTGATACATTCCCAGTAGGTTGGAAACTAGAGAAGAATTAAATTCAGATTTAATCCCAATTGAATTTGATTTCCAGTCCTATTAAATATGATCATGTAAATCAATAAATATAAATATAGCATGGATGGGTCGACAGATATGTAGACACATAGGTGAACGGATAGATGATAAATAGATCGTCCAACACATGGTATCTAATCCATTCACATGGCACAGACCAGGAATAAGTGTTTCCAATAGATCTGTCCAACTTATCAACTTCCCTAAATGCATGCATTTCAATGTTGACCATGTATATATAGTTCTAACCCGATTACAAGTGGAGAAAGAAATTGCATGTTCATTCAAAAATCATGCGGCTGTACAGGACCACACGGATAACATGCCCATGCTGACCAACTGTTGTCCTCCAAGTTGAAACCAAAGTGCTGCATGAGGACTCGAATCTCTGGATCCTGAGCTTGCTCACGGATACAGGACAGAGGGAAAGGGTCAAACTGGCAGAAAGGGTTGATCTCATATAAACTTTATAGGGTGCATTTCAGGGTATAAATTGAACACATTATCACCATTAAGTCATTAAGGCTTGCCAACATTTTCCCCATGTAGTCTACACACATAGAAATTCAACATAATGTACTGTACCAATAAAAATGTTATACTCAGATATTCAGCTTGGGCTCCTCAGGTGGGGTGGGTTTGTAGCAGAAACTCTTCCCGGTCCCCAAAAGTCGACGGAATGCCCATGCCATTTGATAGCAATGTTCCAGAGATCTGGGGAGTTTGCTAATCTGGTACAAGCGATCGATGACCTGGATAAGCCTGTCAATATTCGGCATTAACAAGCTGTTCTTGGCCATAATATCTGCAAGGGGAATAAGAGCTTGGAGGTTGGCCTTGACATTGGCAACACTTCCCTCCACATGTTGTTCCACAAGATCACCCGATGCTGGGTCCACATGAAGGAGCAAGGGTTTCTTCTCACGGATCCGATCACGAGTACACTCTTCATTGTCCCAACTCTTTGCTAATGACCCCATCTCATACTTGCCAACCCGCTCAATTCTAGTTGGAGTAGATGGTGTACTTGTTCCCGAAGCAGACCCCGAAGAAGAAGCCCCTGAAGAACAGGATGGTTTCGCCTTGGATTTTGCCGCTGATCGTCTTTTCCCCATGTCACCACCAAGACAAAAGTCAGTGGATTTTGTCCGAAGCACAGTCACACCACCAACAGCCCAAATGGCTGCTGCGAAGGACCGGGCAATTATGAGATTCTGATGGATGGCTGAGCAGCATGAAGGGTCATATATGAAATCATTCGAAACTGTGGCATTATGTGAACAATGTGCTTGTTGACTGGTGCGAACATGTTTTTTTTATAAAGATTTGTCAGCCACAAGATTTCATGCATGAAGCTTGCAGTTCAACCCCTTGCAGTCTGCAGTGGCCGCCAAACAGGGCAGTTGTGCCAGAGTCTGAAAGTTGACAATCATCCAGCAATCCATGGAAGAGCTGACAAGCCGAGTGTCCCTGTTTAGGTTTGGCAAGTTGTTTCTCAATTGCCTGTGTGGCAAGTACAGATTTCCAAACCGTGCATTTGCAGCATATTCCTATATAGTGGATCCCATTATATTGACTTGGCAACCAGGGTCTGGCCCCTGGAGGTTTATAGGTGGTTTTCATTGTGACATCGGGATATTATATATATATATAGATATATATATATATATACACTCTTGAAATGTTGAGCCTGCACTTGCATGTGCTGTTTGCATGGGCTGGATCTTGAACCACGATGCGACCTTGGCGGGAAATGCCTGAGTCACCAGGTGAGGATGGAGGTGGGCAGTGTAAGGTTCTTGGTGGTCACGATCTCTATATATATATATATATATATAGAATCTATATAGATCTATGATCGGGGAATACCGGATGGTCAGGTATTTTTTTTGTTCAATTGATTGCAATGGTAGCTGGTAGCCACAAAGGCCAAATAGTATAACACCAAAAGAACCCTGATTGTTCCATGAATTACTATATATATATATATATATATATATATTCTATATACTAAAGTCATTATAGAATTAGTTGGTGCTCTATGTTCAAATCATCTCAAATCACCATAATTAGGTGCTGTTTTATGATGAAATCACCATAATTAGGTGCTGTTTTACGATGAAATCACCCTAATTAGGTGCTGTTTTATGATGAAATCACCATAATTAGGTGCTGTTTTATGATGAAATTACCATAATTAGGTGCTGTTTTATGATGAAATTACCATAATTAGGTGCTGTTTTATGATGAAATTACCATAATTAGGTGCTGTTTTATGATGAAATTACCATAATTAGGTGCTGTTTCATAGATTGGATTGGTTTATAAATAAACCCCAAAAAATGCTCGAACGGGAATTAACGTTCCCATGACTAATCAGAGTATGATGTCCCAAAGAGAGCTAATTCATATCTAGAATACTAATTAGCATTATGCAGGGCAGCAGGTATAACTTAGCTAGGCACTTATGAAGTTAAAAACATACTTAAAGATCGGCAAGTTAATTTATAACTTGAATTTGTAAGTGCATAAGTTCCACGCGATTCTAAAGCATCGCAGCCTTAGCGATTGCGTCTTCTGCTTGTAGATCTTCCAGAGCCACCAAGTCCTTGCTACATTACCCCTCAGTGGTTGGAGATAACTGTCATTGCACTGTGACCGCAGGACAGTGACAGGCAGCTCCCACCCCTTGCGACATGCGTCCACGACCACCAAAGCAAGGACAAACGTCCAGAAACAACTCTCACAGAGAATCAGCAAGTAGCATCAGGTCCGTGCGAAACAGCTCCAATCCGCTGTGTCTAGTCACTGAGCCACATGGCGACAAGAATTTGGCGGACGCAGTCCGCAATCCTGCAGTACTAAAGACCACACGTGACTGCGTGGGGTAGACTCAGTCTGACATGATCACTCACAGGGCAAAATTTGCATCTGCAGATCGACGCATGCCGACACAACCGTCACGCAAACCCAATGTCGGACGCAGACATGCGTGCGCAGCAATCTCTGTGCAATCCCGCGGCCTCCGACCATCGAGCTTGCGCATCGCGAAGACTCTCATCCTGACAGGTTTCAACGAAACATACACAAGACCTCTTTTTGCTACAGTTTCTCCACAGATACATACTTTTTTTGGCAGCGTCATGACTTAAAACCTTCATGAAGCAGAGTCACCTTTTGTCTTCTTTGTTTGCAAAACGTTTCGGTCAGAGAGTGACAAGTCAAGTACTGCACCGAAGCCGCAAATCAGCAAGTCGCACCAGAGCCGCTTCAGGTCACGCTGCGGCATAAACACTTGGTCACCAAAAAAATAGGATTGTACCTACAGACTTTCCCTGGTAGCCGCAAATCTGCAAGTCGCTTCAGAGCAGCTCCGGACGCTCTGTCACACAGCGAGTCTCCTCTCGAGACTGCAGTGCTGGGATTTTGGAGAGACAAAATGCGAGCGGAACGCTGGACATCAGCAAGACGCATCAAACCAACATCCCGTCTGACCGCAGCGTATCCTCTCACATCGGGGCGTCGTCGTCCTCCTGCGTGGCAGTGGAGCCCTCAGTCAACTGCGGCAAGGTTCCGGCCCAGGTCACGCGCTGCTTGTGGCATGGCCTCAGGTGGTGAAACCTTTTCACAGGCGTCCAGGTGCTGTCAAAGGCGACCGCCTTGTCGTCCGTTGTCAGCTCGGACGCGGCCAGTCGGGCGAAGTATGTGGCGACAGCGTCCACAGCCTCCTGAGGAACAGGAACCTGCCACAAGCCATTCACCAGGCACATCGCGGTCTGTGACAAGACGACCTGATGCGCTTCTCCTGCCCGACCTTGCAGCATCCAGTTCACAGCCGATGAAGGTCCAGCGGCTCGCAGTTTCACCTGGGTCATTGGCTTTTGTGGCGAGAGCACACAGTCGAAGGATCTTTTCACCCGCATGGCGGATGTAGCGGACTGGTCTTGTTGCAAAGCCTCTTCGTCTGGCAACTTGATCGCATTGAAGCGGACCAAGCCGCGAATGAACGTAGCATCCGCTTTGCCGCCGATCAAGATCAACCCAAGCTGCGAGTCCACCACTGCCTGCTGCAAGGGGGTCACGGGACAGCCATCACTCAGACGGCACCGAGGCAAAACCAGGTCCGCGCTGGGCAAGTCCAGCTGCAACAACGACGGCTGCAGTCTCAAACAAGGACGAATGTCACGACATTCCAACTCCATGCATTGCTGGTAATCATTCTCTTTGAAGATGAAGCGACACAACCACTGCGCGCCGCGGAACATATCTCGCAGGCTTGAACGCAGCTCTTTGTTGTCAACCACATGTCATCGGGCAAAGCGGTCATCATGTTGGCAGCTGTCCGGAGCAACATGTCATGATAGAGCATCACTCTGGTCTGGCTGTTGCCGTCTGCCACTGTCAGGCGCACTGCCAAGCGATTCTCGGTTTCATCTCCCGGATGCTTTTGACAAGGAGCTGCCCTCTTGCAACGTTTGCAGGACGCAATGAGCCATTCATCACTGTCACTCTTGACAGACGAGATGCCCACCATTTGCAAATCTGACACTTCGAAGGCCGTCTCAACTTTGCGGAGTTGACCGGGCACGGCGGTACCAATCAAGCTGCTGAGGGTTGTCGGCACTGCTGGGCAATTCACCCAATCCTTGACCGGGATCTCCGTCAACATCCTGCAATCTGCGTCTCCGGCCAAAGCCGTCAGCCTGAGGAAACCACTGGCATGGGAAGAACAGAGACCCTCGAACCTGATAGTGACAGATAGATAGATTATCACAATTCCATTAGATTCGGAAATCTATATAGGTACAGAAAACAAAAACCACTCTCGTTATGTAGTCTGAACAAAACATGCAAGATCTCAACGTCAAGTTGCAGCTGTTCCGCTATGTCGTCCGGGCAAGGTCGAATGGTCGTTCCTCGCCAGCTTGTCAGTTCCCAGGAGTCTTCCGACTTCCTCTTTGTGACCAAGACCTGGTACAAGAGCAAAGGCTGCTTGACGGGCTGGTTGACTTTCCACAGATCTGATTGAGCAACAAAAGGCGCCACATAGTCCCACTGCTTGCTGGACATCTTCTGAAAAACATCTCGCAGCAGTTGTCCCAAAGGGCCTTTAGCAGCAGGCCTTCAGGCCCAAGCCGACTAGGGGCATGTGCTGTCAGGATTAGATCCTGCCAATTGGGCCATGGCGTTCTCAGTGTGTCCTGTTCCCTTGATCAACCTCATTAGATCTTATGATGTGACATCGACTTCATCACTGAAGGCATCAACACGTTGGATTGACATCAGAAGTTTCAGAGGGGATCATTTTTCATGGAAGAATCAAAAAACCCACACTCTATGATCACAGATACATGACTTGGCATACTGACACCATCCCAAGCTACGACCATGACATTCCAGCGACCTTGCTAGCAGATTTGACACATCGACCTTTGATTGGGGAGACTGAAATTTTCTGCCACAATGTTAGTGTGGAACAGGTGCAACCGCTCAGACTGAGGGCACACAGTGACAGTCTGCTTGTACCGTGGAGCCCACATAGATTTGACAGCATGGATAATCACTGGTCACTTGAGCAATTTGCGGGAGGATTCGGGGGTTGGTCTTTTGCGCAACGATTTCTGGAAACCAGGGGATGCAAAAAATATCAGACCTTGGGTATTGAATGTAGTTTATCCAGCGCCACTCAGTTTGCATTGACACATGGATATAGCATTATTGGAGATACCACCAACATTCCTGCTGATTTCATGAAACGACATGGCAGAAGTGCAGTCATGGTCACAACTGTACAGGATCTGAGCTGGCAAAAACAGCTCCAATTTTTGCCCATGTTTCGATGGACGATTTCAGCACCGTGTGTCTCTTGGTCCACAGCAGCATCGCAAGAGGGATTTTGGTCACCAGATGGACTTGCACTAGGTCATGCATTGGGACACATCAGACTGTTTAAACCTCCAGTTGTAGCCATTGAACAGGTTGCAGGTTTTGCCACGCATGAACAGTTTGGATTGGCTGAACGAATGATGCAGTGGGCAGGCTTTCATCTTTTGCATTCAGGAACATATGACATTGCCACAGTGACCCCTTGCAGACGAGCAAGATGGCTTGGCATTCTTGTGCATCATGAAAGTTTACCACACATCAACATGCAACTGTTGCATACATATGCATGGCCAGGCATTCCATGTACAGCCAGGAATTTTGAAGCCATCCGATGCATGACTGCCTCTGAAAGCCTGCAATTCGAACCCAGTGTTGCTCAAGCCACCATGTATTTTGCATCCGACTTCATGCCAGGAACACACAGAATTTGGTCCAAAAAACACATCCTGGATTACCGAATCCCAAGCCTGGATGGGAAAATCCCAACCTTCATGGCGCGCTATGGTCAGCAGCACCTTTTGATACCATATCAACTTTCCAACAGAGGATTGTTTGGCCATTTTCTCAGGAGTGGAACATCATTCCGATTTTGGTCCCCATATGAGATTGCACTGCTCCATGGCCAAACGGCACCTGTCACGATCCTAAAGCCCAAACAACTAGGCTCGGAAACCCTGGGGAATTGCATCACGATACCACATGCAATTTTTGCCCTTGCTCATGCCCACAACATCCATGATGGTGATTCTATCAACCCAACCACAATGGTAGAAACAGCCATTCAGGGGAGATTGAAAACTACAAATGCAGCCATTCAACAAGACGACCTTGCATGGTACGTAGGACAGCCGGCCCAGATCATGACCTTGCAGAATCGATTGAAGTTTTTCATGAGCCAAATGAATTGGTCCCATGACCAGACCAACCAATGGCCCTCAGATGTTTTCTTTTCTCCAGTGGATGGAATTTTGCAGATTGACCATTACCACGCCGACAGCCACGAGACAGCAAAAATCCCAGAAACCATAGAAGACCCCATTGAAGACCTTGATGATTGTGATGACAGTTCACCACCATCAACGCAGTATGCAGTCCTTCCCAAACTTGTGCCTGGTGAATATGGAGTTTTGCGAGTTCATCCAGATGTGACAGTAGCAAGCCTGATTGATCTTTGGAGCCAACCACTCCAGCCGGTCGCTGGATGGCAACCTCATCAAGCCATGCAGAAGCTACGTGAAACTGAGATGCCGCCAAAAGCAATCCTGTCACCAATGCCACTGACACCAGAAAGTCAAGCTCTTCTTGACCAAATTGACATGCAGGCCAAATCGACCATCCCAATCCTGCATCGCAGTAGCACTGACCTGACACTCTATGACATTGTGGAAGGTTCAACATGGAGACAAATTGTGGAATGGCACCCAAAACTGAAGACTGCCAAACAGGACATTTTTGGTGACTTGCATGAAGCCACGGTTTTCCGCAGCCCAAGTGAAGTCAATGATGAAATATATGAGCCTGTGCAGCCAACCATTGTGGAAAGCCAGTTGAACGCACTGTCAGGTGTCCATTTTGAACCGCTTGTGCCGTATAACACAGACATTCTGGTGTTGCACTGTGAAGGAGATGAGGAAGCACGCAATGCATTCCTTCGATTTTGGATGACTGAAGATCACATCACATGGTATCACCAGGTTGGACGTCAATGCAACTATCAACTGATTGATGACACCACATGGCGGTTGATTTTCAGGCCAAAGCTTCCCAATCCGGCCATGCCATTAAAGGTTTTTGTAGAAGCCCTAGCATGGAGACTTTGGAAGACTGGTTTTATGGCATTGCAAACCAATACGGGTTATGATACCATCATCAAAAGATTGAGCAAAGTTTTGATTCGATGCAACTTCGCACCATCCACTCCAATTGCAACTTTTTTGACCATCTTGCGACATGTGTATCAACTGTTTGGACAGGGACAGCCCAGTATGCTGGCCAGTGGACGACGATGCACAGAGCCAGCCACCATTTGGGACCTTTTTGATAGGCTCCCTAAATCTGGACCAATCATCATCCATTTCTCACCACCTATGTCAGGGGGAGGGCCGAATGAACGAAATCCCACTGCCAAACAAGATTCACTACGAATTGCACAGGCAGGAGTAGCGAACCTGTTGCTAGATCTAGGTCTAGACCTTCCAGCAGTCACCACTACCACCACTGCCATCCTGGACTTTGCAGGTTTGCCAAGGATTCATCACTTGTTGCAGACCGACTCTGCCAGTGAAGCAATCCAACATTTGCGCCAGATCTGCACAGAAGCTCAGATTGAACTTCCCAGGAAGGCCGCCAGCCTCCACCTTGCTGCAGCCAAGACGAAAAAACAAAAGATGCAGAGAAACAACAAATTTCACCAAAATATTGATGTCCAACAATACCAACTTGAAGAAGGATTTTTTCGAAACGAAGACCAAACACCTGCTATGTTGCACAGCCAATTCTCATGGCATGCCACAGGAGTCACGCTCATGTCAACATCCACAGCACAAGACCTGCTTGCAACGACCACCGAACGTGCGGCCGATGAGTTAGCGATCTACGTTGTGGGAGATTTTGCCATTCCACCTGCATTCACTGTCGTGTCCACCAATGCACCAGCTTTTGATTCGCAAGGCAGAAGAGTCCTTTTGAATGGACGACTGATTCAGCTAGGTCATAGACACATCCAGCCCATGCCACCAACTGAAGTTGAACTTGATCACTCCAAGATTCAGATACTGGCAGTGACACTTTGGAAAACTGATTTTGACGAAGCCATGTTGCAGCGACTTTGCCAAGGTCCAGACAAAACCACACGTGACCTACTAGCCCTTGAAGGCTACCAGGACACGATGTCCAAACCATGGGGCAGATCTTTCAGAGCCAAAGGCCTCCCAGTTGAAGCATCCAAAGCAGATTCAATCCAGTTTCATGCAGAGTTCCACCGGGGACCTAGACTGCAATCCCTCTTGAAGAGATCAGGTTTCAATCGTATATTCATGATACCAAAAACCCCTGAGGGAATGACAGATGGGGCATGGAAGGTCATATGGCTAGCCATGTCACCTAGCATGATTGAGAGCAAATCAGCCAACCTCACTGGTGCAGCTGGCCTAGTCAGAGGATCAAAATCAGTTGGCCTTCGCATTGAAGCAGGTGCATATCAACAAGCATGGCTGAAACTTAAGCCAGATCAGACGCCGCCAGACAACAGGATGATGCCGTTGACATATCGACTTCAACCTTTTCCAGTGGGCACCACGAAAGAAATCCTGCAGGAATGGACAGCCTCCTATGACTGGACAACAAAGCCACTCAGACCAGTAGGAGCCAAGCAATGGTTGATTTGCAGTGAAAAGCCACCTCCGATCATGATGATGTTCAATTCTCAGCCGATACTGACCCAACAGGTGGTCAACAGACCAGCAGCAGCCACATCGGCCATTGCAGCCGGCCCTAGGCCGAAACCACCTTCCAAACATGACCGAAGTGACAACACAATTTCAGTTTTTAAAACGGGAGATCCATACATGGACCCATGGATGAAGCAAAAGCCACACACACCCGCAGTGTCAAAGGAAGCAACCTTGATGACCGCTGCCACTGCGAAAGCTCCTCAGGAAGCATCACAGCGACAGCCGGATGGACCCATACAAGAGATGTTTCAGCAACAAGACAACAGAATCCAAGCCATTGAAACTGCCATGACACAACTTCAAGCGACACAACAGCAAAAAGCAAAAGACACTGATGCCAAATTGACACAATTGGGTCAGACCTTGTCCCAACACATGACACTATCCAGTCAAAATTTTGACCAAATCTACACTGAGCAGAAAAGCATGACACAATCGATTGCACAAGCCATGCAACGCCAAGATGATCGCCTAGCCCAATCCATGGATGAGTTGAAAGCCCTCTTTTTGCAATCAAGAGGAATCAAGCGACCGCCAGCAGAGTCAGCTGGTGACATGGAGGATCAGGAGTGACTTGGCCAGCCACCATCACTATGTCAAAAGCGCATGCATGCATTCAAAATTAGAGGTGACAGTTTGAACCTAGTTGTATCTATCCTGCAAACCAGTTTTGCCCAGCACTGCATGGCATTTTGCGTAAAGTGCATAGATCATTCAGGTCTGCAGAGGGGT